GTGAGTGCTTGGTGTGGGGGGCAGAACGCCTCAGGCTCTGTGCGCCTGGGCAGCTGCCCGGCCCGTGGTATGAGCAGGCCAACACCCTCTGGTTCATGTGCCTTCTCCAGGCTTGCTTGCTTACAAAGACCTTCTCTGTTCCCCCTCATTCAGCTGCTCCCACCGCCTCAGATGTAGCCTGGCCTTGGGGCTCTGCAGCTGACGGATGGAGGGCCTCTTTGGGAACTGTTCTTTTATCAAACTGATTTCTCTCAGGAGTTGAAAAATTACGTTTTCAATTGGTAGTCAAAATAGAGAGGTAAATGTCAGCTCTTCCCCTCTCTGAGACAGGCTTGTAATCGTGGAGGCCTGTTCAGCCTCTGGGAAGAGATGGGGAGCAAGGGCAGGAAGCACATCTAAATGCCACAACTGAGTGGTGCTGAGAGTCTTTAGTATAGACTATGCTTCAGAAAACTCGGTGCTGAGCATCTTTCCTATGAGGAGTGGCTGAGAGCTGGGACTCTTCAGCTAGGAGAAGAGAAGGCTCAGGGAGATCTTATTAATATGTATAAATACCTGAAGAGAAGGTATAAGGAAGGGAGAGCCAGGCTCCTTTCAGTGATGCCCAGTGACAGGACGAGAGGCAGTGGGCACAAACTGGAACACAGGAGGCTCTGGAACAACAGGAAACACTTTTATCATTGTGACTATGACAGAGCACTGGAGCAGGTTGCCTGGAGAGGTTATGGAGTCTCCATTCTTGGAGATATTCAAAAACTACCTGAACATGGTCCTGGGCAACTGGAGGTGAGGGGGTGGAGCAGATGACCTCCAGAGTTCCCTTCCAATCTCAACCTTTCTCTGATCCCTTTACCTGGAAGTCCTTGGGTAACAGTCTTTGCTGTGCAAGCAAGCTAGATCGTAAAGGGCAGGAGGCATTTTAAAATCCAGGACCTTCTAGCCTTCTCATGACACACTGATGTGTTTCCTTCTGTCACTAGGGAGCAAGCCTATAAGACGCAAGACTAACAACAAAATCATGGCAACATCTGGTGGAACTGGCCGCTCTCCCCTCAGCATCCTACAAGATGATAATTCCCCCAGTGCTCCTGCCCCTCGCCAGGTAAAGCTTAATGAGTCATACTGTGGGAGGGTCAATGGGCTGAAAAAAAAACCCAAATCCTTCAATTTCTGTATTTTGTAAGGCCTCAGTTTGGAACTGTGGCCTCTTAGGCCTGTAGTATTTTTCTATGGGTCAGTCTTGTCCGTAGATGCCTCCAAGTCTTGTTCAATGTCTGTATCTTTGGCCTTACCATGATATTGCCCATTTCAGTGCATCCTTTCTCTCTAGGCTGTAGAAAGAATTCCGTCACTCTTGGATGTTGTCACAACAGAGCCAAAGCTGAATGGCCTGAAAATAGGCTACGTGTTCCACTGAGAACTAACCAACCCTCAACTAAATTGTCTTTTATGCTGTATGTTTGTTTTCTTTATTTCTCTAGGGTAAGAGGCACGTGTTGGGAGAGAACCTTGGGGAGAAGAAGGAAGTGACAGTGGATCTGAGCAGAAGCCTCAAATCTGGGAACTGTGCTTGGAGTGACTTGAACAAAGAGAACCAACAGTGTCCTTTTGTGGAGAACTAGAGATTTCCTTTTCCACAATTTTGCTGTAACTTGCTTCTATGTTTTGAGAGTCTTCTAGGGGTGAGAAATCCTGCAACAGACTGAAACTTCAGACCTGTCACTCTTCTCATCTATCCCTGTTGGGGAAAGAGCACACTTTCTCTCTCCTAGCTTTGCATGTCTTCTGTACAGTACAGACTTCGGCTCTTCTATTGTATATCAGCTGTGTTGACTTACTGTAAAGTTCTTATCTGTAGCAAATAAATTTGTATTAAACCTTTAACAACTGTATCTATGTTGTGATAGGACAGTAGGAGTCCCCTGCTTGCCCAGTGCAATGTTTTCTTTGGGGACAAGGTTCAGCAACAAATCGTTCAGCCTTCCATTAGCCCTAAAACTCAGCTCTGACCCCTGCCTGTAACATGCTACTGTAGAACTGTGCTGAGAAGGGTCTGACCTTGACCCCCTTGTACTATAGAGTGGGCTGGGAAGCTGCAGCTCTGTGCAGGAGGCTGATGTATCTAGTATTGCTTCTGAAGTTCTGCTGCACCTACACTGTCCTGAAACTAATGTATATAAAGGACTGTAGCTTATTGCAAGGGTCTGGCATGAGGATGAGATCCAAAATAGAGGGAGATAGTGTTGTGCATTAATATCTTGACCTTCTGTTGATAAGTCACTATACCTTGTTGACCTTCAACTCTCCCTAGCAGAGGCTTGGGACCCCAGGATGTTGCTATGAGCCAACAAGTGGAATAAGGGCTGAATGTAATGGTTGGTGTCCTGTAATTGAGCTCAAATATCCAAGGTTTCCAAGGATGTGTTTTCAGCTCGCTCTCCCAACTCCAGGGCAGCAAGCCTTGGGTCTAACAGCTTCTTCTCAACTAAAACATAGGTGAGGAACACCCTCCCCTGGGAACTTTGAGGTAGAGTAAAGCCTGCAGATGAGATGTTCTCTGGGTGGAGTCAGCAGGCACTACTCACAAGAGAGGAGTTATGCTTGCAGTAGCTCATTGCAATGCTGGAAAGAACACAGCCTGCAGTGCTTATGTGAATTTTTTATTTGCCTGCGCTATGAAGATCTATAACAGACTTGCAAACAGGGGCTGATGGCTACTGGTTAGACAGGGTCACCACACAACGCAGGAGTGAGGCAAAAAGAGAAGGGACAGCAAGAAGCAGATAATAAATAAGAATAAATACAATATTCCCTGGTATTCTGGCAGGTCTGAGGGCTACATTTCCCTCATTTATGCATAGATAAGACTTGAGCTAAGTTCCCCAGGGGAAAATGAGCCCAATTTACACTAGCTTTTTGCTTGAGGTTGCATGATAGAAATCTCAAACCCAGTATGTCTCTGAGGCTGTCTGCAGGGATATAGGACAGCTGCACAGAGAAGCTAGGTAGAGTTAAATCAGGGACAGAGCTTGGTCTGGGACGGAGATGTTGGATGAGGAGTCCTCTGAGGGATGAGTGTCAACATGGGTAGAGGTGGTTGAAGGAAGATGACGGGTGTCTGAAGTGTACTGTGAAGTCCTGAGACATAACGAACAGTGTCTTGCAGGTCTTCAAGCCTGCATGAGGCTGGAAACTGCTAGGCCTGTTTAGAGGTGGAGGGAAGGGCCAGTGTGTGTGCTCCTGCTCCCCAGCTCCCCCAGCTCCCCCTCTCCAACCTCTCCTTTCCCTTTCACTCTGGGAGACCCCTACAAGTGACCTGTGTCTAGAGACAAGCGGGAGTGGTAGGTAGGCGTTTCTGTTGTGCTCAGCTGACGATGTTGTTTGCGTGGGCTGTGGGCCATGCTTCCGCTGCTCTTTCTCTCCCTCCTGCCATTCTCAGTTCCAAATCTTGAGGAAGCTGTCCCAGGAGCCGGTGGCAACGGCCATGCCATCTGCTGTCACCCCCAGGCAGCTCACTCTGTTGTCATGGCCAGAAAGGATTCCTGCGGAGGGGGAAAGAAGAGAGGTCAGGGAAAGAAGTGAGGCCAGGGAGAGATGAAGGCGTTGACCACGCTGAGGACATGTGGTCACAGTAGATTGTGTACCTACACCCCTGTGTGTCATGCTGTCTGTTCCTGCACAACACGTTACAATCAGTACATGGCTAATAAGAGCAAACATGCAGAAGAACATTTTACATGGCATACAACCACCACCCAGGGCACTGGCCAAAGAAAAATGTTCTTAGGAAGGTCTGGCTAGCTGAATCCTCATAGAACTGCTTTCACCCTGGAGCGATGGTAGGCCTAAGAAAGGGTGGTGTCCTTGACAAGACTGAGACATAGCAATGCCATTGGTGGGCTGTGTTATAAATCTTCAGAGGCTAGGGGCCACATCTGAAGGAAAAATGGCACGTGGGTGTATTCTGTGTATGAGCATCACAGAGTATCCAAAGATGTTGGATGGAAGCCCAGGTCCATGCTCAGCTTGGCACCTGGCCACCAAGTGGCACTGTGAGTAGCTGGAACTGGTGAATGGCAGAGGCTAGGAGAAAGTAGGAAATACTCCTTGTGCTTGTGAGCAGTTTTAGCTAATATGAACCTTAATGCTCTTTTTCTCCTTGAAACAATGTTGTTTAAAGGCTTAAACTTTACTTCTTTAAAAACAAGAGTTGTTCTACACAAAAGAGAGTTGTACTAGTTATGGTGTGGTCCTTAAGTGCGAGGAAGCTTTGTTGGGTTTCAGTCAGTACAGGATGTGTCCCTTTTAGGAAAAAAATAAAGGCCTTTTCCTTGCCTCAGTAGGGACAGAAGACCTTGCAGTGAATGAAAGAGGGACCTCCAGAGCCACTCACCCACACGTTCCGCTTTCAGGGAGTCCCAGATGTTGCAGTTGAAGTCATCATATCCAGCAAGCAAGAGGCGTCCACTGCGGGAGAAGGCGACTGATGTGATTCCGCAGATGATGCTCTCATGAGAGTACACGATGAGCTCCTGGTCTGCCCTCAGGTCAAAGAGACGGCAGGTGGCATCGTCTGAGCCGGTGCAGATGGCTTCACCATTAGGGAAGAACTGAGGAGGGCACACATCAGATTTTGATCAGGCTGTGCCTTACAGATTTCCTCAACTCTGCCTCCCTGCTAACTATCGGCAAGCCACGGAGGTAGGAAAACCCAGTGGGACAAGACACTGGATCATAAAAGTTCAGTCTGCCAAAGGGGGGAGGCTGATGCTTCTCCTAAGACCTAGCAAACCCCTTCCACCTCAAGAAAGCCAGTGACCTAGGGGCTAGAGCTATTGCAAGATGTCCCATTGCTTGAGGAAGGATTATTGTCTCTTTAACTCTAGCTGTTATTTCAGGGCTTGACAAGTGTTCACTCATTATCCCCAAGATGGGGTCTGGCGTGATTCATAGCTACAAGAGCCTCCTTCTGTCTGATCCTCATACTCCAACCTTCTCCTACACACTTCTTTTCTATGTCCTTGTCAGAGGAGCAAAAAAGAGCTCCGCAGGAGTAGGTGTGGCAGAAAACCATGCAACTGGCAGGGGAGCGATGGGACAGGTGAGAAAAGCTGTACTAACTGAACTCAGTGGAGGGTGGTTCAAGCAGCAGATGTTGCAGGAAGCTGGAAGACTCATTTGGTTATCTGCATTGCATTAAACTGACATGTTTCTTGTCCCAGGGCTCCGGTTTGAATCCTTGCCTCTGAGGGGGATACTTGCTCCCAGATGTCTGTGCTGTCTCCTGTGAAGATTTCATCTTCAGAAGATCTCCCTATCATCCCAAGTTCCCACCTCTGCTGTCTGGAGCTGACTAAGACCCTCAGCTGAGTTAGGAATTCC